ACCAACATGTCATGCTAACCCCAAAATTCCACATACTCCGTCAGCGCTCCGCTCCGCTGCGGAAATGATCCAGGGTTTCCTCGGATCATTAAAAATAATTACAATTTATTATTTTTTTTGGGATTTTTTAAATTAATTTCATAATTTTTTGGGGGGGATTTCGGTGTAACAATCAACATATACCGAACCGAAAACCGTGAACACGAAACCGTGAACCGAACCGAACCGTTCCACCCCTACTGTCTAGTCAAGGTTCAGATTTCAGTCCTGGATATAGTTTTTATTTCAAAGCAGAACGGGCCTGAATCCATGGTGACCAATTATGACAAAAAGCAGGAATTTTAAGGCAGAAGCAGCTGTTATCAGGTTGAAAGGGAAATCAGCTTTTTTACTCCGGGCTAGGTTGGGTTTTGGTGTGGGGTGAGACGGTGTTCCTTGAGTGCAGAGAATCAGGAAAATATAGGACTCAGAATAGGCCTGTCTGTACGGATACATTTCCAACATAGAAGCATCACATTGATGAGCAAGTGATGCCCATGTCCAAAGTCATGCTTCGTTGATGTCCAGGTGCCTAAAGAAAAAGATGAGATGGTGGAGCAGGAGTTCAACCGGCTGCTTGAGGCCACCTCCTACCTCAGCCACCAGCTGGACTTCAACTTTCTCAACAACAAACCGGTTTCTCTGGGACAGGCCCTGGAGGTGGTCATTCAGTGAGTATCCACTCAATATAGATGCTCTCCACACTTTTCAGATTTTAATGTTTTCTGTCACAAATAAAAATGCGCTCAAAGTGGTTAGTCCATCGCAGAATGTGGAAAGGTTTTAGGAGTGCGGATGTTTCGACTCATCACGTTCTAAATCTGCGCAGACTGCAGGAGAAACACGTCAAAGACGAGCAGATAGAACACTGGAAGAAGATCGTAAAGACTCAGGAAGAGCTCCGAGATCTTCTCAATAAGGTGAGCATTTACAGATTAATCAATTATTACTAATTTAGTAATTGATTAATCATTAACTGGAGTGTAGAGACTCTAAAACCGACCCACTTAGTGCAGGAATTATACCAAAATTGTAAAAAATATATAAACATTTTGCATTTAAGATAAAAAGAAAAAAGCTCGTCTGTCAATATTCTCTGTCCAGTTTTAGTTTCACATGATTTAACTTTGTAAAAAAAAAACTTCTTTAAGGAACTTTTGGGTATCCGATTATTAATAGAAAAAAAAATTTACTGATTGATCGATTTTCAAAGTAATAGTTAGCTGCAGCCCTATTATCCTGGTAATCCCGTCCTGAAGTAACCATGTTTCCCCTCATAGATGGTGTCCACCAAGGAACGTGTGAAGGAGCTCCATCAGCAGTATAAGGAAGCGAGCGAAGTCAAGCCCCCCAGGGATATCACTGCTGAGTTCCTGGTGAAGAGCAAGCACCGTGACCTCACAGCGCTCTGCAAAGTAAGGAGACCAGAAAACGATCCGATCACGGCGGCAGGGTTCTGACTGAACTCCATCCTGGCCTGAAACCATTTGTTGGATTAATCATGATTAATCCATTATTGAAATAATTGTCAGCTAATCCAGTAATCTAAACCAGTCATTTCAGGGCGGGGCTTTTTGGAAACCGCCAGTGTTCTGCCCGTCAGACCAGCATACCCATAGTCAATACCCGTTTATCCCTTTAGTTTTTTACAAAAAACAAACTTTACCTCAACGTGCGTGTATCCCTTTAGTCATGAAAAAAAAAAAAAAAGAATTACTTTTTGGTGTTTTTTGAAGTATATGGTGATCTCACCTCAGATAGTTTTTTTTTTACATGACTAAAGGGATACACGCCCGTCGAGGTAGTTTAAAGGGTATTTTTCGTACAAATCTAAAGGGATAAACGCAAATCTGACATCATGCACATTAGGGATGGAACTGTTTATGAAAACCGTCCGAACCGTTCGGTTCGACTGTCTGGGTTCGGTTCGCGTGTGTTGCGTTCGGTTCATGCGCTACTCCTTTTTCTCATAGGCGAAGCGTTTACACTCCAGAGCAGAAGGTGGCGGTACTGCGACCAAAGCCAACCACCAGTAGTAAACAAGAAGAAGAAGAAGCGAAGCAGCGTAGCCGGGTGTAGCAGAAAAAAATCAGTTGTTGTGGAGAATTGTGTGGGTATGGCGAGTGGGAAAGAACAGGAGTTGGAAGACGCGCCAGCAGCACTTTATAGGTCTGCTGTATGGGACCACTTTGCATTTAGAGTGACCTACGATGACGGCGGAAAGAAAGTTGTGGATAAAAGTGCAACAGTGTGCAAGCATTGTGCAACACGTTTTGTTTATGCTAACAGCAACATGACCAACATGTCAGGCTAACAATCAACATATACTGAACTGAAAACCGTGACCAGAAACCGTGAACCGAACCGAACCGTGGATTTTGTGAACCGTTCCACCCCTAATGCGCATGTAGTTCAGGGCTTTCTAGAGTCGACCAAAACAAAACAAAGCTGGTTTGAGAAGGGTGGGAAGGAAGCCATTTATGCTAAGAAAAAAAAAACAAAAAAAAAAACAACCTTAAACAGAGGGGGTGGAGTCAGGTTTCAGCTTTCAAAAACCTACAATTCAGCGATTCAGTCGATTCCTTCCCGCTATTAACGCAACCCAGACCCCATTACATGATTTTGAATTGAAAAAGCTTCCTGGATGGGAAGCGAAACGTCTTCATACTTGGAAACAAAGTCCAGTGGATTGTTTTGTAACCTTTTTGGAACTACTGTCTAGTCAGTTTAGATTTCAGTGCTGGATATAGTTTTTTATTTCAAAGCAGAGTGGGCTTGAATCCATGGTTACCAATGATCACAAAAAGCTTAGAAGGAAATTTAAGGTAGGAGCAGCGGCAGTGGCGGATCTAGGGGGCGGCTACTTGGGCTGCAGCCCCGGATGTTTCCCCCAGAGCCCCGGATCTCGCTTCTGAGCTGATCTGAGTAAAATGTGCAGTACTGGAATTCACCAGATGGTGGCAGCAAAGCAGCCTGTAGCATTCCCGTGCAGAAGAAGAAGTTCTCACCAATGGCTGTTGCTAAACAGACTGATGTTCCAGGGATGTGAAACTCTGACTGACTTCCAGACGTTGTTTGTCCCGGTGGTGTATGAAATTCTGTTCCCCTTATTTCGGGAAGCGCATTGAAGCCAGAGAGGCGGACATGGCGGATGGGACCATTTTCACGACGCGTCTGATCGATTTCTCGCTAAAATCAGCTATAATCATGTCACGCTTGCAACATCCAGTTTAATCAGCAGCCATTGTTTACAAAATTGTAAAATAAATAAATAGACAAGGTCATTTTAAGCTATTTTGTGTTATTTTAAACGCCAAGAAAATCTTCTTTTTCCGACTTCTGTCACTTAAACCTGACAGAAATAAAAGTCAGTCACCAAACAGGTTTCCAACAGTAGTGAGTATTTATCATTTTTCAATGCTGATATCAGAGGACCGAAACCGGCTGGTAGCAGGACACAAATATCAAGAGCTCCTGAAAAGATGAGAGTGTAGACTTTCTGATTTATCCCCTTCTAATGTAAAATATGACAGATTACTGGATTAAGGACATTCCCAGTATACTACATGATATCACACAAATAATTTTTGAGAATCTGGAAACAGATGCTTTTTACTTCCCAAAGATATGGGAGGAGGAGAGACTTGATGTTTCAGCTGCCTGAAATAATCTGTTCCTCCTCCATAACATGGGAAGAAATTAATTTACCTGCAGGACTTTAACTGTGTTTATTCATTTATTCATATTCCTCTGGATTTGGTGACATTAAATCATTATTTGCCAAAGTTATGAGGGGGGAATCGTATATTTTAGCCACCTGATATAATCAGTCCCCCCTTTGATGATCTTTATGAAATATATTTTCTGTTTAAATGTTTATCTAACAATTCACATATATTCCAAAAAAAAGTTCAAACCAAAACCACTGTACTTTGTTTTCCAAGTTTGAAGATCTTTCTCAATTCAAAATGTCTGGAGCAATGCTACTGCAGACATTTTAAATAGAGAATTAAAATACATTAAATAAAGATAATCAAATCAACAACTATTTTGGATTTTAAAATATAAAATAATAAATGTTTTAAACATAATATATGAAAAATAATGACAGTTTCAAAGGATTTGTTTTTTTCCCATGTTATGGGGAAACAGATTATACAAGGCGGCTAAAATATATTATTTCCCTCTGATAACTTTGGCAAATAATGATCAAATGTGACCAAATCCACAGTTAGTTGTTGATGAAAAGAGGAATAAACAGTTAAAGACTTGCAGGTGAATTCATTTCTTCCCATGTAATGGATGGGGAATTGTTATGTGTGATATCATGTAGAATAGTAGAAATTTCTTTAATCCAGTAATCTGTCATATTTTACATTAGAACGGGATTTAGAAGAAAGTCTACTCTCTCATCTTCACCCTCGGGGCTAAGCCCCTGATCTCCTAGAATCCTAGATCCTCCCCTGAGTAGCGGTTATCAGGTTGAAAGGGAAATCAGCTTTTTAACTCGGGGCCAGGTCAGTTTTGGTAGTTTTGTATGTATTGACTATGGGTATGTTGGTCTGACAGGGTATGCTGGTCTGACACATCAGTATTTATGCCACTGAGAAGGCTAATGCCGCAGTGTCTGAGGAAAGCAGACAAGCTGTCTTTTAAGTGGTTCATTCTCCTGCTAGGATGGTATTATTAGCGAGTGTTGGGGTTTTATTTTTGGTGCGGATAAATCACCTCCACCGCGGCTCCCTCTCTCTATGTTTAGTTGGTTTAAACACAGCTGGTATCTGAGGCAGAGATGTCTGTGATCCACATGCTGGCTGAGGAACCACTTCAAGGCTCCGGATCACGCTCCGGTTGCCTTTATGCCTGCAGATGTATTTACACGTCCTGAGAGTCTGTGTGTACATTAAGCTGATTTATCACCGCTCTCTAATAGCAGATTTTAAAGCCAGCAGGATGATTTCTGTTTCAGTCGGTGCTCCTTTGTTTGGACATTTCCAGGGATTTTCTCCCAGGTTGATTTTTTTATTTCCTCTAGAATCCGTGTCTGAAGGAGACGCTGTCAGAGTTTGGGCTGCTGTTCCAGGTTATTTTAGTGCGGCGAATAGGTTGAGTCAGCCGTCTCTGTCCAAGTTGTTTGTCCTTTCTACATGACCTGGAACACTTTGGGTGTGGAGCCGCCACACACCCTCAGCTGACTCTCTGAACCGAACCTCAAGTCCATTTTGATCTGAATTCATTAAAGTTTAATTACTTTTATTTCTTGATAACTATGTGGGATGATGGGGTATGCTCACCTGACAGAACACCTGGATTCATTTACTAACAGATGTAGCAAAATCAAAGCGTAAAACCCCAAAATAATACAGCACAAGTGTAAGAAAAAGCCCTGCTGACGGTGGTGGCAGCGTCATGCTGTGGGCAGCATGGCCAGAGAAGCCGGTCCGATGGAGGGAGCGGTGACACACAGCTGTCTGTACCTATAAGATGCGACGCTGTGCAGTTTTCTCATGGTCTGTTTTTTTTGTAGGAATATGATGAGCTGGCAGAGATGCAGGTGAAGCTGGAGGAGAAGCTGCAGGAGCTGGAGGCCAATCCGCCCAGGTAACACACCCAGCTGGGACTCCCAGCACCCCTTTGATTCTTTCCCATGGTGCTTTTATGACGGTGTGTTAATTAGTGACTCTTTATTTGATTGTTCAAGCACCATTTTGTTGATTCGTATTTGTACCCTTGTTAATTTGGCTCCTTTTTTTTGTTGCAGTTATTTCTCTGTTTTTTCAGAATAAAATGTATTTAATTAAGTTTCTAGCAGCCTTATCGGTGCTGCCTCCTGCATACGTGAATCTCTGCGGGATGTTTGGAAAGCTGTGAAATGGCGTTCTTCATGGTGTCGTTTCTTTTCTCCCACAGCGATGTTTACCTTTCGTCCAGGGATCGACAGATCCTCGACTGGCACTTCGCCAACCTGGAGTTTGCAAACGCCACGCCCCTTTCCACCCTGTCTCTGAAGCACTGGGATCAGGTAGCTCCCCGCAGCCAGTTCCAGCCGTCGGATCTATCATGGAGGAGTTCTGTTCCATTAGTGTTGCAGCAAAACATGTTTTATAAAAAATGAAATAAAAATACAATCCAGAAATGAAACTTTGAAAAAAACTCATCATAAAAAAAGTTGCTGGAATTTTTTTCTTTAATAAAAAAAGAAACATTTCTAACTTATTTTTTACAGATTTTGTTTTTTAGAAACATTTTTTTTTTTTTCAAATTTCAGTTTTTTAGATTGAGTTTAAAGTGCATTATTTCAAATGTTTGACAGATCGCATTCACTTCCCTTACAGCCCAATCAAAACGCTCGTTCCTCCCCGATATGTCCAGCAGACCAATAGAAATGTGTCTTTGCTCCTCTCTACAGAGGAAAGCCCGCCCCCAGAAGAGAAGAGAATGGGATCTGGAAAACGCAATCCGTAAAATTTAAAATAAAAAACCAAAATAAAAAGAAATGCTTCTAAAAAAATTTTATACGCAAGAAAAATTGATCAAATAAAATTAAAAGAAAATTGGGAAAAATAACATGAAATTAATATTAATAATTTGAAAAAACAAAATGGAACAAAATTCACTCCGTATGCCTGTAGCCGCCCCTCATGTTTTTCTGCTCCCTGCTACTCGGGATGAATCATCTATGATGTTTCCGTAGGACGATGACTTTGAGTTCACCGGCAGCCACCTGACGGTACGAAACGGTTACTCCTGCGTCCCCGTGGCGCTTGCTGAGGGTTTGGACATCAAACTGAACACGGCGGTGCGACAGGTCCGATACACGGCGTCTGGTAGGTGCAGCGATCAAATATGTGTGTAGTTCATACAGACGTGCATTTAACACTTTCTATCCTGCTGCAGGCTGCGAGGTGATCGCCGTCAACACTCGCTCCACCACTCAGACGTACATATACAAGTGTGACGCCGTGCTCTGCACGCTGCCCCTCGGCGTGCTGAAGCAGCAGCCCCCTGCGGTCCAGTTTGTGCCCCCGCTGCCGGAGTGGAAGACGTCCGCCATTCAGAGGATGGGCTTCGGAAACCTCAACAAGGTTGGACATGAACTCATGGAGGCATCCCTCAGAAGCTTAAAGATGTTTATATGAATAAAAACATCACAGGAGGGAATATTACCGCTTTGAAGCAGGGGGCCCCAAAGTGGGCCTGATCAGTCATATCACATGGTCAGGTCCTCCACCTGACTTTTCTTTTTTTTTATGACTCCCACCATGGGAAGCTCTGCTTCATAGGACAGATAGATGGAACAGAAACTTGTCCAGAAAAGCAGGTTTAATCATCAGCTGTGTCTGTATTTGGTTCAGTTCCTCTCGGCGTGACGATGGGAACCAGCAGCAGCAGGTTGAGCTGCTTCTAGCAGAACATTAATGAAGGAAAATGTGGTTTTTGTAACCAGTCTGGTGGCAGGAAGGAGCTTTCTGTGCCTGAAGTTATCAACCAGGATAGATATACAGGATTATGTCTCTAATTGAGCTGAACTAGCAGGAATTCTGCAGGAATAACTGCTGCTGATGTCTCTGTTTTCCTGGAAGATCCGGGTTTAGTGGTTCTGTTGGACCTGCTTGTGCTGCTGCACTGCTTCTGTCCGCCGTCTGCAGAAAAGCTGATCTCCAGATGCTGCTGCTGCAGCAGAGTGCTGCATTATTATGCAACAGAGCTGCTCGTTCTCTCCCTCCTCCAGTAGAGGGAGCTCTTCTCCATCAGCATGGATGAACTGTGCAGACTTTCATCCAGGTTTCTGCTTGCTTGCTGACTTGCTGTCGTGTCTCTCTTTGTTTGAAGGTGGTGCTTTGCTTCGACCGGGTCTTCTGGGATCCCAGCGTGAACCTGTTTGGTCACGTTGGCTCCACCACCGCAAGCAGAGGCGAACTCTTCCTCTTCTGGAATCTCTATAAAGGTGAAAGTAGATCCATAAAGGATGAATTCCAAGATGAAGCTGAGCAAAACCTAAAAAAAATCAACCTCTACTTCGTCTCCAGCTCCCATCCTGCTCGCTCTCATGGCCGGTGAGGCGGCGGGCATCATGGAGAACATCAGCGATGATGTCATCGTCGGCCGGTGCCTTGCCATTCTTAAAGGAATATTTGGAAGCAGCGCTGTTCCTCAGGTATGTTTCCTTCTCTCTGCTTTTTCTTCCAAGCTCCTCCTGGAAAGTTGTCCTTGGTGTTTATTTTTAACCGACCCCTCTAAACCCGCCATCAGAACCAAACCGCCCGTCATTAAAAGCCGTTTGGGTTCCATCCAGCGCTACGCCGTCCAGCTGTTGGCGGCTCCTTCCAGCTCCATCATGGAAAGTCTTTAAGCACAGTTTTTTTGTGTGTGTGTGTGTCTGTCGTCATGGCAGCCCAAGGAGACGGTGGTGACTCGATGGCGTGCCGACCCCTGGGCGAGGGGCTCCTACTCGTACGTGGCAGCAGGTTCTTCGGGTAACGACTATGACCTGATGGCTCAGCCCATCACACCTGGCCCAGCGATCCCCGGAGCCTCACAGGTAGGGAGACTGGAAATGATCCATGCAGATTACTGACTGGGACAGTACTACAGTACCTTAGAAAAGTATTCACACCCCTTTAGTTCTTCACATTTAGTTTTATGTATTTCATTTATTTATAAACCTTCTGAGGTTAATTGGAAGGTTGAAGGGGCTGAATTCATGAAGTATAGAAAGTATTCATATCCCTTAAACCTCTGACAGAACTTCCATGTGGAGCAAATTATAAAGAATATGATCTTTTTTATTATTATAAAGAAGGAAGAAAAGGCTGTTTATTTAATAACTTCCAGCACAGAAAAAAGGAAGGTGACGAGTTCAATCTGCAGCCATATTGGATTCCCACTAATGCCGCACAGCATTCCTACAGTGATACAAGGAGGGGGCAGCATCATGCTTTGTTTTCAGCAGAGAAAATGAGGGATGTGGAGAAATTAGGAAAATCCTGGAAGGAACCCTGAGCTCGTGTTAGTGGCCTAGTCAAAGTTCAGACCTTCATCCTAGTTTGAACAGATTTAAACTTATGTTCAGTTTGACGTTGCGAGAAAAGGTGCAGTACTTCAGTCTGTCAACGGGTGGCGCTGTTGGAGAAGCTTCAGTTTGACGTCTCATGAAGAAAAGTGATTAAAGGCTTTAATCTGAACATGTTTCTCTGCGTTCCTTCCTCAGCCCGTCCCCAGATTGTTCTTCGCCGGCGAGCACACGATCAGAAACTACCCGGCTACCGTCCACGGCGCCCTGCTCAGCGGTCTGCGCGAAGCCGGCCGCATCGCCGACCAGTTCCTGGGCGCCATGTACACGCTCCCCAGACAGGCCACGCCCACAGCAGCCAGCAACCCACAGCAAGCACAGCCCGCCGCCGCCACCGTCTGAGGGGGGGGCAGGGGGGTCCGGTCCGAACATTAACGACATTGCATCAGTTTGGTTTCTTTACTGGAATGGTTCACCTGGGGTGTTGGGATTATCAGATAATCTGCAATTATAAGAGAGACAGACTTACTTTTTCAGAAGATGGATTTAAAAAAAAACAAAGTGAAAAGATTAAAAGATATTTCATTGATTTGGATTCAGTTGATCTTTCATCTAAACCCATATTACTAAGATTTAAATGATCTGCAGTTTGATTTTTTAAGGATTCACTCCAGATTTGTTTTCATAATCTAGATTAAATTATAAAATTGCCCTTTCCTTCCACTTAAAACTAAATTCTGTCCATTGAGATGAAAACATTCATGCCAGCAAGAGGAATAGTTCAAGTAGAACAGAAAAGATGTAGATCATTTAGTTCAGATGAGTATGGAAATGTAGGAACTTTGAAGACCCCCAATTATGATATTCATGAAAATCCATCCTAATTAACACAGAAGGATGGGATTATTCCAGCTAATCTTAGATTATTTCTGGCCTTTGACCTGACGTCTCTTCACCAAGCGGAACCATAAATGTGAGGGAATGTTTCCCTCTGGAAAGAAGACTTTTCCTTCTGTTACACTAGAAGCTCAACATGTCCTGAACTGTAGCCGTTTATCTTAAACTCTGTAGTGTAGTGAAAGTTTGTGCTCAGAGCTTAAAATATTCTTTTTTTTTTAAAAGAAAATCCTTGTTTTTTTTGTTTCTTTTTCAAGTTTAAGTGTCTAAATTTGTTGTTGAAATGTTTTATTATCTTGTGAAATGTTTTGTTAATAAAAGAAGAGCGACATTAAGGCCTGAATGTTGTGGAGTTTGTTGGAGGTGAAACTCCAGATGTCCTTCTGCTGTAGATGGGAAGCTTTTCAGGCCTGAGAGTTTGTCTGGTGAAAAAAAACAGTAATTTAAAGTGACACTGTGCTGTTTTATCCAACTGTTCGGTTAATGTGATATATAAAATGATTTCTCAGGTCAATATTCAGCAGTTCGAGTGCTGATGCGCCTTGCGGAAAGCTCTTCTCATAAACTCACCTGCCTCAGGTGTCCGTCACTGATGGGTCATTGGAGCCAAAGTGCCGCTTTGTCAGTCTGAGCTTCCTTTAAACACCTGAGCTAACAGCTCTGATCTGATCAGACATGTTTCTGGTTCTCTGCTGGAGGATATAATCTAGAGTGAATGTTTCCTGGTCTTTACCAGGAACTCAATGATTCCTCAATCTGCCGGTCTGAACACGGAGGGATCCTGGTTCATCTGGCCGCAGCGCTGTGCTGCTTCCTGCTTTCAGGTTTTGGAGAGAAATGTGTTTATTGAAAGCAAATAACTCAATGGAAATTAAAGAAATAATAAAAAAAATGGTTTCAAAAAATGGAAGTTTGAAAAAGTTAAAGGTTTTACGGTAATTTGTATACAAAAGTTCAATATTAGCTTTTTTTAAAAGTAAATTTATAAAAAAAATTTTATGTTGCCAATTGTAGGTTTTTGAAAGCTGAAATCTGAGTCCACCCCCCTTAACCTGACTCTGCCAGATGGATTTGCTTCGCATATCCATCTGGAAACCTTCCGTTGAAGTAATTTTGGGAAGGGGCGAAAATACTGGTTAGCTGATTGGCCTATGTTGGTGATAGACGGGCCAAATAAACCAATCAGAACGAAGCATATGACGTACTAACAGGGCGACAACGAAAACACAACCACCAGCCAGGCTACTCTTGGCGAAACCAGTCGGGAGAAGAGCAAAAACATCTTTTCCTCTGAGAAAAGCCTCCAGAGCAGTGTTTTGCTCTTCTTTCAGTGAAGAAATACTCTGTAATTCCGATAAAACTTGCTCGATAGCCACGCTAACGCTAGTTTCATCGGCTGAAGCCGCCATGTTCTTTAGACTGAACTGTCGCCCTTCTCGTTGCGTCACACCTCAACCCGCCTCAAAGCCAACGCTGATTGGACGTTCGTTTGGTGAACGGCTCCAAATTTTCTTCAACGGAGAGTCTCCAGACTGATCTGCGAGTGAAACCTTGAAAGCTCGCGAGATCAGGATGGTCTCACGAGGCTACTACCCCCTCCTGTTTAAAGGAATAGTACACCCAAAACATGATTAGCCTTCATTTTCTACTCACCCCCATGCTGAACAACACTCTGGAGTACTTTTTTGATATCTCAAATGCATCTGGAGATCTGGGAGGCTTCTTGCTGTCTGCTGACATTCAAATAATGGAGGTCTATGGCGCCCGAGGCAGAAAGGTCCATAAAAGTCCACAAAAAACGTGTCAATATTCCTCCATACTGCTCGTCCAATGTATTCCAAGTGTCCTGAGTGGGTAGCATCCAGAATTTACTCGAAACAAAGTCATTTAGAATGTTTTTAGAGCATAAACAGTAGTGTATAGGATTTCCTGAAAGCGCGCACATGTGCGCTCACGACGCTACGGAAGCCGGCAGACCAAACCAGATGAAAGTGCGCATTCAGCTCGGCAAAGAACTCATGCTCTTCCTCAACACTGAAGTCCTCAGACATTTTTCTTTCGTTGTTTCTTTCTTTGCACAGGTAAACAGCACATTTCTTCTTCTACGCTTGCATTATCGGCAGAAGCGAAACGTCTTCAAACTTGGACTATAACTTTTTAAAAATGTTTAAATAACATTTTAATTTGTGTGAAGGGAACATTTAGTTTCAGTTTGTTCCTGTATATTTAATTAATCATAAATCAATTTAATAATATGCTTTTGATACGGGACCAGGATGTTTTTTTTAGCCCCTACTTTAATTTAAAATACAGGTCAACCAGCTCCCTTTAAAAGGCTGATGTGTTTTAAGTTCTAGATAAATGCAGCTGTTCTGATCTCAGAGGTTCAGCATCATGAAGACCAAGAGGACGACTTAGGAAGTTCTGTTTCAGTTTAAAACCAGGGTTAAGTTCCAAGACCATCTCTGTTCAAACCATCATTTCCTCCCGGATTAGTTTTTCTGTCCCAGTAAAACCAGCTGGTCTGGGCTCCTTACAGGATGAAATGTGAAGCGTCTCCATCGGTCTGGACAAACAGAACATCATGTTCAGGAGAAGCAGGAGACGATGATCATAACTAGAGGAGCAGTTTTTTTAACAGAGCGATGGATGTGCTGACTTTACATTCCTCAGCAGCTTGTGGTTTTTTTTTTTCCCCTTCTTTGAACACGACCAATTTGCCTGGTTTGTCTGCTCGCCGTCAGCCGTTCCCCTCCTCCTCACACGTGTGCATAAACCCTCCAAAAGATGCACTGCTGTGAAATCCCAACTAGCAAAGCTCAGTGAAGCAGAAACAGAAGTGGACAGAAGACGGAGTGTTGCAAACAGGTCGTTTTTTTCAATTTTTATTGGAGTACATACGGTTCGGTCTGCTGTACAGTTGGCAGCTTTAAAAGAGGCCTACATGCAGGGTGTGCCAGCAAGGTTAAAACATGCACATTGTTTCAATCTAAAACTGATGGCGTTAAAAAAAAAAAAAAAGGAAAAGGATCCACCAGGCTGCACCGCCAAACTCAGATCCAATAACAAAAGTTAAACTCCTAAAATCTTTGTAGAGGAAGAGGGATCCAGATAAAAATAGCCTTTAATTCTCAATTAGATTATTTCCCAATTTACATTTGATATATTTATATACATATATATATGTATAAGGGTGGGGGGGCTGCATGCTTTACTCTTTGGCAGCACTGAAACATACAGAAGATGTAAAAACCCTGAATTTATGAAGGACATCAGAGCAGATCTGAGGCTGAAGAGCCAAACGGCTTCACTTTAAAATGAAAACGGCCTCGTTCTTCACCTCCGTCTCTCATCTGCTGGTTTCATAATGAGCGGTCTGAGGTTTCAACAGCCAGAAACGCAACAAGGACTCTCCAGGAGTGTAAGAGCGACAAAAAGACAAAAACAGAAGGAAAAGATATCTCAAAATCAAGAAAAAAAAGGACAAATATTTAATAATATAGTTTAACAATAAGGCCCACTTTACAAAATTACACATTTCTCCTTAAATAAGATCGATCTGATATAGATTCAAAAATAACATTTAGTTTGACAAAGAAATAAAAACGTACAGGAGCAGAAAAGAGTGAGCATTTCCGCTTTAATCCAGCATCTTGGAGATGGCTCCTCTGTGGGGTGGGGGGGGGTCATGTAAACTGTAAATACTGTGGAATGATTTTGGCACGACATTAAAAACAAAGAATACAAACGTTAACGACTGATGCAGAGTTCTGCAGCAGGTTCTGGAGCAGAACGGGTTCAGCTGGACTTCAAGTGGAGAAGAACTCCAGAACTAGAAGCTTCTTCTGAAGATCCAAGCACTTTCTAGAAGCCGGTTAAATGCAGATTATATCTAATCCCGATCGACGGCTTTACATCCTAAATGCGACCCGTGATTCTTCGTGTCTAGAGCTGCTGTCGTGGTTCTGGGTTTCCTGGTTCCCGCTGAGACAAAGTTCGGGTTTATTCTGGGTTTCTGTAGCTTCTGTTCCTCCGCTGCTGATGAGAAGCAGCAGAGCTCCAGTTAAACCAAAGCGATGAAGCATCAGGAGGTTTTTCTGACCCGGTTCGACCCGCCTGATCCAAACGGTTCCCCTCGGGTTCAGAGACGACCCAGAAACCATCAGGCTGCGGGAAAACTCCCGGCAGAAGCATTTCAGTAAGGTGTCCCTAAATCCCGTCCTTGAATGTGAGAAATTCAACCCTGTGCATCCAACGCCGACCATCGGATACGACGATTCGGGCCGCTGTTAGATCACAGACGTCTCTGCTGAGCACGCTCCTGCATGTAGAAGCCCTGAGTCAAGTCCTAGACAGAATTAGACACAGCCTTGACCTCTGACCTTTCAGCAGAGGACATAAAACATGAAACAGGCGAAGACTTTGAAGGGAAGCACAGAGGAACCAAAACAGAAAAAAGGTGGAACCTGTTCAAAGTTGGATATAGTGGAGAAAACCGACTGAAGTCAGACGTCCTGAGCTGCACCTTAGAGTCTGAGCCTGCAGGGACGCCTCATCTGCAACCTCCAAGGCACAAATGGACACAGCGGACGTGGAAGAAACAACTGATGTGCAGGAACACACGTTCCCAAACCTTTTTTTTCTAAAAAAAATAATGATTTTCCACCCAGACGTGCATCAGGAAGGAGGCAACAGCTGCAGACGGATCAGCTGCTGGCATTAAAAGGTAAAGTGACGGCGTGGCAACAGGCTGCTAGCAGGATGGCGGTCGTAGAAAATAATCCCACATCAGGGCCTTTCCTCCAGCTCCATCATCATCATCATCCTGTGCAGGTCGCTGTGCAGCTTTCTGGAAATCCTCACAGTAAAACCTGCTTTGCTTCAACCAATAAATCCACTTCTGTCTGAATCTGCATGATTCAGTTTACAGTACCCCCCCCCTCCTGTAACAGTGCAGCATTTTTTAACGACGGCGGCGGAAGTGCAGGTCTGCTGGCAGTCCAGGACTGGAAGGCCGCCTTAAACCAAACTTTTCCTCTATGGCTCTTAGAAACAAACATAGACGAATAAAAAAAGAGGAGAGAGGGACGCCTCCTCTGTTCCTCCACATGGCGCTGCTTTCTAAATGTGTGCAATTTGCTTTTATTTCCATCTGAGGTGAAGGAAGAGGGACGAGCTGAAGCAGAGTTATGGGGAAGAAAAAGCATAAATATGATCCCAGTTTGGCTGATTGGAACCAGCCGCTGTCTTCCTTTAAGCAGAGAGCATGCCGACTCACAGCCTTCAAGTGCTTCTTTTTTTTTCTTGGACATGCGGATGTTCGCCCAGAAGGTGCCAACGTGGATTAATGAACCTCTACGTGCTCCTGGTTCTCCCATGCATGGATATCAACAGGCGTCTCACAGCCAGGTTTAATTATCTTCCCGTCTTTTGGTCGCAGGCGGAGACGTTTCGGTTCTATGTTCTTAGAAACGGGTCAGTCTGGGGTTTTATTTAGGGGAGGGAGCTTAAAATCCTTCTCCGACATGCAGGAAGATCCTCGGCCCTCAGCAGCACGCCGGCCTCTCCGTTGTCGGGGTGATGGGGGGCGGGGGGGAGCAGAAGAGGAAGCACAGGCTGATCCAGGGGAGGACATCCAAAGCAGAGCAGGACGGAGGCTGCAGACGGTTGCATCAGGTGACGTGGAGGATGGAAACCTGGCTGGAAGCTGCAGAGGAGAAACAATCAGTCAGTAAATGCTGCTTCCCTCTAAGAACAATCTGATTCTTCAAACAGGCTGTAATTACTTTGATTTCCTAAAAACAAGTCGGTTGATTTGCTGCTAATTTGGGGGGAAAAACTCGGCGAGTTTGATTCCAGGAATATTAAAAGTCCAGAAAAAACAGGAGACGGCTTCCAGGATATTTGCTCCAGTTGTTAAAAGGCTGTTTAAAAACTAAAGTGCTCCAAACAAAGACGCACACCTTATGTTTAGGTCAAAATTGGCTTTTTTTTTGCAGAGAACCTTAAACGCATCATGACATTTAGAAGAGAAGCTAATAAGGAGGAAATATCCTCTCTCAAGGAACTGGTTTCAGAAGTTTAATGTAAAAAAATAAACAATTATTGGGAAAAATGTTTCTTCTGCCTTGAATCGTTCTTTTTCAGCTACATAATTTGATTTCATCCAGAACTTTCATTTTAGTTTGGGTTTTTTGTTTTAAATATCAGATGTTTTGACGACACTGACGACCTCAGCATCATTTTTATCAAACTTTTTTACTTGAGTCATTTCCTGGATGGTGAATAGATTTACTCCTCAAGTAAAAATATGATGACTTATTGTTACTCTACCCACCTCTGGATGTGCACTGGAAAAACGATCTAGAAATAAGCAAAAATTTCTTAAATTAAATGTATTTACCCTTAATTTGAGTAGGTAAATGAGATAGCTTGCCAATGGAATGAGTATTTTTATTCTTAGAATAAGATAATTAGATAAAATGCACTTGAAATAAAACAATTCAATTGTGTTTTCTTATTTAAAGTGTAAATTTTCTCGTTCCATAGGCAAAATGTCTCTTTTACCTCCTCAATCCAAGAAAAAATGCACTTATTTTAAGAATAAATGACTTTTCTAGATTTGGATTATTTCCAGTGTGATGATGAATAAATGAAATTAGTCCACCATGTTTCTCTACAAGCCTCCTAGAAACGGAGGCTATAGAACTCCTTCACATTTTCTCTCATTTAAAACTAAAAACACTGGCGACTCTGGAGGAGCTGCAGAGGCGCAAACCCGGCCTTTATGAAAGAGTTTCAAACCAAACAGGAGAGACTGGAGGCGCTTTAGGCCTTGTCCACACAAAGTCAAACCCTGGCCTAAACTCACACATTTTTCACCAAACCAGCCTCTCATCCATACGAAGCCGGCGTTTCGGGGGTCTGTAAATGATCTTTTTTTTATTAAGCCTTTAGAGTGGTAGGATTTTGAAACGCCGTTTTCGCATTTCCATCTTTAAGCTCTAACCGCATTTTTTTTTTTTTTTACACGCATGCGTCATAGCGTCGCCTCTAAACACGCATGCGCGACACATCACAACAACAATGGCGCCGTACTGTGTTGAATGATTGCTGCTCATGCTACTCACCCTGCTGTCGGGCTTACAACAGAATCTTCTTCTTCTGGAATATCTCCAGGAAGAACAGAGCAATATCGACCACATAGTTCAGCACCTGAATTTGACTGAACCACGAAAATGGACCCGCAGGGCAACCATGTATAAATATTAGTGAGCATGCCCAACATTTCGTCGCCTATTTTTGCTTTGGCACCACAGCGCCACTTACAGGCCTGGCATACATTTTGCAGCGTTTTCATGCATTCGTGTGGTCGATCACATTTATTTTACGTCTCCGTCTTTACGACAAACGTTCTGGAAAATATTAGCGTTTCGTGTTCGTTTTGACTTCGTGTGGACGGGGCCTAAGTCAGATAGATGGATAGAGAATCCATTCAAACCTTAAGAACTGATTCGATTTATAATCTGGTTTCCTCATATTAAAAGATGTTTTCTTTAACCTGAATTTCATGACTGTGTAGCTGTCTTAGTATTAAACTAACATTCAAGAGAAAATTAATAAAGTTATGGTAGTTAATGGTAAGAAGTGAAGAATGTTTCTTAGTCTTAAATATAAAAAATTGATTCAGAGTTGGAAAATATATATCCTCTGACATGGGAGCTGGCTCGGGTTCGTCTGCCTGGCTGTGTGTTTCCTGGACGGGGCCGCCTTTTACAGTTGCTTTTTGTTTCTATGCTTCATTTTCTATGTCTGCTTCTGTCTCCTTGAACCCCAGTGGGCCTCAGCAGATGGCCGCTCACACTGAGCCTGGTTCTGCTGGAGGTTTCTTCCTGTTCAAAGGGAGTTTTTCCTCTCCACTGTCACTACAAGCATGCTTAGTGTGAGGGATTGCTGAAGAGTCAATGAGTCGATGCAATCAGCTGGTTTTCCTTAGATAGAAAACTTTGAATCAGTCTGACTGCATGATCTGGTGAACTGGAAAGTGACCTGAGATGACATGATGTGAATTGAAGCTATAGAAATAAACTGAATTTTGTATATATATATATATTATATTTTATATTATTTTAGATTAGACTATGTGCTGCTGAGCAATGAAAAGTTTTAACACACCACGGTGGTGGCAGCATCATGCCTACGGGTTGCTTGTTAAAGGAGCAGGATGGAGCAAACTCAACTTATAAAATGACCTTTAAATTAAAATCCTTAAACGGTTTAAACCGTAGGGATTTTATGCACATTTTGAAGTATTGCTTTGGAACAGCTTTAATGGAAAAAAAAATGTATCTGATAAATTAATTACGTAAAGATTTGAACTCTCCCTTGGAAAGGTTTTTTGACTTTCACAAAAAGTAAACGCGCTACAGAGACATTCAGGACGCCGCTGGGGTCCTGAATGCTAACATTAGCGTTAGCTAGCTAGCTGCCTTTTACTTCCTGTTTGTTAAGCTAAACGTATGAAGACGTTACATCCCCTGGGTCTAACAGGCTTTTCCTTTTATTGACATTTTAAAAATGAGCATAACCTGATAGAAACACAGCTACTGAGGTGTCAGAATGGCCTAGTTAAAGTCCAGACCTCAATCTAACACCAGCACCATGCTGTCTGGGTTTTTAAGGTTACAAAATGGAAAATATTTTTAACGAACCGTAGGTTCTTCTGAGGTTGTTCTAAAACTTTAGAAGAAAGAAACATGCAGAGGTGTCCTCCTCCTACCTGCCTCCATCCTGCCTAATGATGCTCCGACTGAAACTGGTTCCACGATCGGTGTCCCGCTCCGGTCCTCGATCCCCGACCTCGGCTGGACCAAGACTCCCCTCCTCTGGTTGAAGAACTGGTTGTTTTGGTCAACCGGTCATAGGAGCTCCCCAGGTGCTGCTGGTCACTGGGGGGCTGGTGACGCCTCCAAGAGGCCGGGCTGAGGGCGGGATTAGAGGCCAGGTCTGGGTTCTCTTTAGCCTGGATGAAAGAACAATTAAATACTTTATTTTACCCTGCGGATTACTCCTTCAGATAAATTCTGTTTCCAGTAGCTTAAATAGGGTACAAAGAGTTAAAGCAAGATGCCATTAAAGATGAAAATACGACAGACAATATAAAAAGAGTTTATATGGTAGAAAGAAAGCATAAAAAAAGAAAAAAGTTACATCCTGGGATACGTTTCCCTTAGATATAAAATTTCTGCACAGTAGAGAGCTAAGGTAAGACTGCACAGCAGTTGATTATTACACTTGTAATGCAGAGATGTTCTGACCTTATAAATAAGTAAAAAAAGACCGGACTACGCAGTAGTTAGCATGTGTTATTGCACAAAGAGAGAGTAGAAAACTGCACAGGGGTGACAGTAGGGAATGTTTTGCATAAGATGTTCGAGGACCTAAAAGCAGCAGGACGTCGGCCCTGGAGGATGTGAGTTTTAATCCCCCAGATTAATCTATCAGTTTATTTTTCTATTAATTCAATAAGACATCCTTTTAGTAAATTAACATTTCTACATATAAAAAATTAGAATATATAACATGACTGGCAATGCTTATTTAAAATAAAAATTATATGTTAATCAGTCCATCATTAAAACCCATATTTTAATGATTGAAAATGATTCGTATTTTATAAATATGCATCCTTCCTTCTTGAATAAAGATTTTTGTCATACTAGCTGCATTAATTATGTTATTTTTACATCAAATGGCCTGTTTTAGAGTCTGTGTAACATTTATTTATCTAATACATAATGTTTTACTGAATAATTACACATTTCTTTAACGGAGGAATTAAATAATGCATTGAAAGTAATGACTTCCCTTCCTACAATAACTTGAAGTAATATTAGGGGGTCACCAAGCTGCTGGATTTTTTTTGTTGGGGCGGTTCTCATATGTGGCCATTAGAAACATGCTGTTTGGTGTGCGACAGTGAAAGTCGGCCAGGAGAAAAATTCCCAACCAAAAACCCCAAACATACCCCAAGCTGAGAGATTTATAATCATGGTGGGCCCACTAGAAAATAGAGGCCAAGTTACTAGCTTGTGGTGGCTGCCTCGGCACGTTCCCCCTCATGGCCTGGGTAACCCCGCAGCAGGAAAGGGAAAGTAAGATGACGGTGCAGTTCCACCAGCCCGCTCCTGTAATTTCAGCTTTTAAAAAAAGCACCATAATTAGTGAGATTTGTTGGGCTGGAGCTGCTGCCGGTGCCGTTTTAGAACGCATTCTCACTAATTGGCTTTAATGGAGCCCTGCTGGCCGGCCTTTCTTCGTCTCCAGGGGTAACCGGCAGGAAACGAGTCACCCGCCAGCACCGCCGAGTGGGTGTGCCCAGCGTGGTCACTTCCTGCTGCAGTCGCTGAGGGAGGAAACGCAGACGGGCAGTTTTCTCCTTCTATGGGCACCAAAAGCTGCTCATATTTGCACATCTTCTTAGGAAAAGAGCCGATCCAGTAACCAAAAGCTGAGCGTCACGATGCAGCAGAAGATATAAACCCAGTAAAGTTTTCACACCCTTGGATTTTACACATTTTTTTTCTCCATTTCAATTAACAAAAAGTGATGTTAAAACCTTTTTGTTCTCAGCTGCATCTAATCCGATTCCCTTAAATAAAATTCCTGGAACCACAAAAGTGTTTTCAAATCAGTTTTTTCTGAAGATGTTTGACCCCCATCCAGGAGTCTTTGTCAGATCTGTCGGCTCCATCAGATCAATCTGTAGATGGAGCGCTGATGCATTTAAGCAGCAGGGAGGTCCATCTTTCCCTAATTCCTCCTGATTGTTGGAATCTTAAAAGGTCTACAGAAAGAACTGGGTGGAAATCCGGTTGATCGTTTTGTGGAGGCCATGACCAAAGGCAGAATCCAGGGAAACTAACAACTTTAAGAAGTTATTATTGGAGACCAAGCATTTTACATAAAGCTATAAAATATCCGTTTAACATGGTGTTGGCAGTATCATGCTGTGGTGATGCTTTGGTTGAGGGACGGCAATGAGACGATTGATGGAGCCAAAGAGTGGATTGTTAATCCATGTATCATTTAT